AAGATTTAGACCGTAGTTGTCGATATAGCCGTAAAACATCGAACAGCTCATTATACATTTTCAAATAAAAATCTTTAAGATTATCTCATAACATAAAAATTTCTTTTCAAGTATTATACCACAAACTTAATATAAGATGTAATAGCTTAATTAGGCCAATATTTTTACAGTATATTTGTATCGTATTTTCCCTTCCTGCAGATACGACAGGGCCCTCACGAGGTGGCTAGAAGTGGGCATGTGAAGCTGAACGTGTGGGGCTACATATCCCTGCACGGTATGGGAGATGTTTTCCAAATTCAAGGGAGGTTTAAGGCAAATAAATACCTAGACATCCTGCGGAATTAGTTCCTCCCTTCAATTCAGGAACGCATTTTCCCATTCCCTGCTGGACCAATTACTTTCATTCATGATAAATACCCCATCCACATAGCCAGAGCAGTGAGTCACTGTTTGACGGGCAGCAACTCCTCAGGCTCTTGGAATTGCCGAGCAAGGGATGCGACATGAATCCCATTGAAAATATCTGGGCAAGTATAATCAATTCCTGGGAGCCCGAGTTTGAGAGGACGCCGAACCAGCTGTTCGACCACGTGACAAGACAATGGGAGATTTTTTTTAACAAACCTGAGCCAGAAAGGCTAATCACGCAATGACAGAAATTACATTCAACTCAGTTGCTGTACATTTAACTTTGAAAATCAATGCCATGGGTCAGGTGAATTTCTTTCGTCTATTTTTATAATCTAATCAGAGATTGAGCTTGCCAGGAAAAAGTGAAATACACACGCAGTTAACGTCATTCTCACAACATAAGCGGAATTTCTAGACAAGGACCCTCTATAGGTATACGTTGAGATTTTGGAGATAAGGAGTTTGACATGTTCTTTCAGGAGATTAATGGCTTTCTTGAATAGACAACTGACACTAGCTAAACTACATACATCAAATTCTCTGATTTTGTACATCAAAATATCTAATTTCAGTAGCACTCAGAAACTCCTGGCAATCCCCAAGGACTATATCACGGGATGCCATTCGTACTGGCAGACTGGACACTCACTTACTTGACAAGTGTTTTTAACAATAAAGACAGTTGAAGCTTTCAACATCACTCACAAAGGTTCTTGAATGCTTCAACTGTAATCAGACCTATCTAAATTGACTCAAAACAATGGTGTTCTCTCTCTCATTCAGATTTACTTGTTAGAGAGGTTGGTTTCAGGAAGTCAGAGAAAATGGACGGTACCTAAGCTAGGGAGCAATGAGAAAACGGACGCCTCAAATGGGAGACTCAATAAAGAAGGCATAGCTACATGTTTTGTGGGCTACTGAGCGTAATATGAATCGTCTGATTTTACGTTTACTGACGTGTACGACTGTGGTCATTACATCGGAACTCACACACAAGCTGCAACTTTTTAAGAACTACTGTGATCATCGTGCATTGATGTCACAACAAAACTTCAACACCCTTCAAGAGCACATGGGGTAAACATTTACACATAAACGCAATTTCAATTTCAATTTCAAATGTTTATTCCTTGATAGAGGAAGCGGGAGCCTAGTGCTGTCACTAGGTACCCCTGTACAATGACACCAGAAGCATCTGGCAAGTGTGACAAGTATATACAGTATAAATATTATAAAGGGGCTTACTAAAGCCTAAGGAAGGAAGGATATTCCTTAAACACATAATCAATGTTATTTACAAAATATCTGGCCAGTATGGGGAGGATCATCGTGTCTCCGTCAGGGGGTCGTGGAGTGGTGGTCCAGCAGGCGTTACGGAAGCGTTGTGTGTGGGGACATCTTAGAGGTAGTGGATACGGGTGCTGCTGTTGGGTAACATGGACAGTCCAGAGTAGTTGTTCGTGGATAATGGTAGCCTCGATGCTTTTACAGTTGCTGTCAGCAAGAATATTGTCATTTGTTCTCTTGTCTTACCAGTGAAATCAAAGAATTATTTTTTTTTTACGGGGATTAGCCCACCCAGGCACAGGTCACTGACCCACATCGCGGCCTGAGGGGGGCAAAAATGTAATAATAATGATAATAATAATAATAATAATAATAATAATAATAATAATAATAATAATAATAATAATAATAATAATAATAATAATAATAATAATAATAATAATAATAATAATAATAATAATAATAATAATTCATAGTTATACAATTTTTAATAAAAAATAAAAATTTTAAAATAAAATAATAAAATAATAACGATAATAACAATAATGATAATAGCACTATAATAATAATAATAATAATAATAATAATAATAATAATAATAATGATAATAATAATAATAATAATAATAAAGAACTAAAAATAAATACAAAACTAAAATAAGATCAAAAGTGAGAAATAATATATGTATGTTGTGTTGTCAATAGTAAGAGAAACAATTGAGACCCTGCAATTGTGTGTAAATGACGCAGAAAGTCAGATGAGCAACCTAGGACTACTACATAGACTATGTTGGTGAAAGTTTTCAAGTGTCTTGAGGTGCCTCCTGCCATATAGCAGAGTGGGGAGGACCACTGCTCGATATTCATGTAACTTCGTAAATAATTTCAGCTCCCTACAACTGAAGACACGGGTTCGGAGTCTGTGAAAGGTTTTGAGGTGCACATCTGATCGGATGCTGAATCTTTTCATCGATGTCTGCGGTGGTGGACAGGTGAGAACCGAGATACGGAAAATGGGTGGAGGTGTGTCTGAAACCAGGGGCAGGATGAAAGAGAATCTGAGTCTTACGTACATTCTGCGAAGGTGTTCAGGATCTCCTGTAGGTCGCGTTCTGTGTGAGCGACAAGGGTGAGGTCATCTGCATACTAAAGCTCAGTAATGGACGCTGCTGATACTTTTGTTCCTGCCTGGAGTCGTCTTAAGTTGTAAAGACCCTTTTAACTGCCGACTGGTTCGACAGTTAGATAATGTCACGTCTTAAGGATGAGAGAAACCCACAACGTGGTCTCACTCAATATTTATTGATTGATATGGTCAAAACTCTTAAGGAATGAGACACTCATTAACTACTGATAACATTCCATTACATGTATACTGTACATTATACGTCAATTAGTAAATACACTATTCTGTATGGTTATTATCCAAATTGCCTTACACTATGCCCATACCTGTATGTAGTTCCCAACATTTCACCAAAATACAAACAATCACAGTGTTCTTTCACTCACGCGTGCGGGCTTATAGCTCCACTAACTGATAGTATCGCTAATGTGTGCACTCAAAGAGTGTTGGACGAATACTGCAAGATAGAGGCATCCCGTGCCCTATCTATGGTCATAACACACAATAATTTGTTGTGCATCCACACATCTGGCGAGGTCACAGGTCACGCGACCAAATGGGTTCAGAGGTCGCGGCGATAACACTCCCCCCGTTGGGCACATCCCCAAAATCAAAGCAATAAACGGCGCCTTCGAGGAGACAGATCTCGGTAACAGGTCAGAGAAACTCGTAGACAGCAGTGCGCACACGAACTGACGGACGAGCCCATCTGCACTAGCAATCGCTTCAACAACCCGACCAAGGGGCCACTTGCCGCGAGGAAGGGTTTCTCCGGTGATGAGAACAAGATTGTTGACTTTGAAGTTACGAACAGGCTGACGATGTTTTTGCTGCTTGCGTAGAATCGGTAGGTATTCCTTGGTCCAACGTTTCCAAAACCGGTCTGCCAGAAACTGTGCATGTTTACCACCTGCGTCAGTAGATGTCTTTCAGCGGGCATCCGCTGAGAGGAGGGACTGGAGCAGAGTCACGTCCAGGCATATGTAGTGGAGTCAAGGCCTCCAAATCTTTGGCATCAGTTAACACTGCAGTTATTGGGCGGCTGTTAACGATCACTTCTACCTCACAGAATAAAGTCTGTAGTCGTTCATCATCAACCACTTGAGACCAATGGTTACCCTAAGCACTGTTGGGATTTATCTTTCCCACATACCTCCCATATGTGATGCCGCAGGGGGATTGAACACCCACTCCACCTCCTTCTTCAGAAGATGTTGCTGTATGTATTTTTCTGCCACCCAGTTGTGAGCGGTTGCCCTGAGTTCTTTGCAGGCTCCAACCATGTTTGTGCCATTATCTGAGCGGATGCATTTAGGAGTGATCGCATTGATGAGAGCGTCGGCGTCAAGAGAGTTGAGCACTTCCAGATGGACTGCACGGGTTGTCAAACATGTGAATAGACACCCCTAGCACTTGGCTGTCTTGCGCCATTGTTTGGTCTGGAACGGACCAAAACAATCCAATTCTATTAAGGCAAAGGCAGGCTTTCCTGGGCAGGTTCCGATCTGCTGACAGCACGGCTTTCCTTTGATGCATGGACACCCAGTTGTTGCGACGGCAGACAGTGCATGCCTTGGAAATCTTATCCAACTAACCACGACACTTAGGTATCCAGAAATTTTGACGCAACAATGAAAGCGTGTGCTCCCTTCCAGAATGCCCAGCATGTACTGCATGTGTTTCTCGTACAATTAGCGTAGTCACCAGATGATCACGTGTGAGCAGTATTGGCCCATTATGTGTTACCGCCCATTCACAGTGCAGCCTACCTCCAACCCTCATCAGGCCATCTTCAGACATGTATGGTTCTAGACGATAAAGTTCACTCTAGCGTGTCAACCTTTTCTTTGCAATGAGCGTCATTTCTTGTTGGTACCACTCTCTCTGTATCACTCTAAAAATTGCTGTCGTGGCCTGGCGTAACTCTGACACACTTAACACGGTGATGTTTGCTGTTGGTATTTTATCTTTTAAGACGTTGATAACCCTCTGGATCCAAGCTACTCCTCTTTGAAGCTGAAACCAAGAGGAGTACTTTTCCCACAGGCACTGCAAGGGTTCTTTGGTCCTGTCTACTATGGAGGTTAGTAAAGTCACGTCCCTTTTCACTTCAGGAACGCCCTCGAGCTCCGTGTCAACTTGCGGTGCCTTTGGCCAATGCTCGGGAGGTAGCCTTATAAACCTTGAACATGGGTCCAACGACAATCCTCCAGCATCTGAGAAGCGGTTACTCCTCGTGTTGCATAATCTGCCGGGTTCTGCTCTGAGCTGACATGTCTCCATTGCCTCATGTCCGTGACTTCTCTTATAGCCGACACTCTATTTGCAACAAAGGTGTGGAAGCGTTTCCCAGTGTTACCAATATACTTCAACACAATCATACTATCCGTCCAAAACACAGAATCCGCTAGTGGTACACAGAGTTCATGTCGCACTGTTGTGTCAGCATGTGCTGCCAGTACCGCGGCACAAAGTTCTAGCCGTGGTATGGTTTGTTGCTTTAAAGTTGCTAGTCGGGCTCTGCCACACACAAAGGAAGAGTCAATTCTTCCTTCCCGGTCTACAGTCTTCAGGTAGGTGATGACTGCATAAGCTGATTGTGAAGCGTCGCAGAAGTGATGCAACTGAGCAGAAGCAGTGCGGCTCAGACCAACTTGTGTATAACAGCGTGGAATCTGGAAGTCCTGCAATAGTTTTAGGTCCGACAACCAACACTGCCACAAGACTAGGTTGTGGTCAAGAAGAGGTATGTTCCAATTTTCTTGTCTTCTGCACTCGTTCTGGAAGATCTTTGCCTTGATGGTGAAAGGACAGATGAATCCCAGCGGGTCATAGGCAGAGATTACAATGCTTAGAAGCCCCGTTCTTGTCATAGGCCGGATTTGGACTTTTGCATTTGCAGCAAACTGGTCCGTCTCCAAATTTCTCATTACTCCTAGGGCTCTCTGTGGGCAAATTGTCATAGGTGTGCCGCTTTTCCATGGGGATAGTGCTGAGTACTCCTTTGTGATTACTTATCCATTTTGTAAGCTTCAATCCCCCCTCTTAGCAAGAGTTCTTGCAGCTGGTGTGCCGTGGAGATAGCTTCTTCAGTATCAGTAACAGACACAAGCGAGTCGTCCACATAAAAGCTCTCTCTAGCTCTGGTGGTTGCTATGGAGAATTCTGATCCATAATCCTGGAAAGTTCTCTGCCATGCATAAGTAGCACAAGCTGGACTCCACACCCCTCCAAAGATATGCACTGTCATTCGGTAGGCAGTTGGGGTTCCCGACAGGTCTCCATTTCCCCACCAGAGGAATCTTAGGGCATCCCTGTGCACCTTGACCTGATGAAACATGGCTCCCGACGAAATCTTATGAGGACTCCAAAGAGTTTGTTGTTGAAGTCTGGTCCTTGAAGTACCTCGTTGTTTAGTGACACATTGGAAAATGTTGCAGTACAATCGAAAACAATGCGAGTCTTCTCTGGTTTGTTTGGATTTAGTACTGGATGATGAGGCAGATGCCAAGTTCTTCCAGAATTTGCTGTTAGTTCCCTTTTTGGCACCTTCTCCGCAAAGCCCTTAATGATTAACTGTTCAATTTCTGCAACATTTCTTAGTTTCAGTTCTGCATTTCTTAGGAGGCGTATTTTCAGATAATTCAGACGCCTGACAACAAGTGAGCTGTTGTCCGGTAGGTTAGGTGGTTCTCGCCGGAATGGAATGGGAAACTGGAAGTGTCCATTTATCATCGCACCTGTCGATGATCAGAGCTGGACGACTTTTTTGTCCTCCAGCGACACTGGTACATCAATTGTAGTTTTTTTAAAGGTCATCTCCAATTCCCAAAAGAACCTTACTTGTGCCTCTAAATTTGTCTCAGCAGGAGGGAGAGCCGGTGGTGAACCCATGACAGCAAGAGTAGGAACATTTTCATGGGCCATTGGGCCATTTACATCCATCCAAGTTGAGTGTTCACTGCAAATGGTGCTCCAGCTCGTCCTGTCAGGCACTCTAATGGAATCAAGGCTCTTGGACAGTCCTGCCCTATTAGTAGTTCAACGTTTTGAACACCAGACACAGGTGGTATAATTTCTCGAAGATATTCCCAATCCATTACATCCAAAGTTGACGCGAGTGAGTCTCCCAATGACGGGGGCAAGCGATCAATTACCAGTACACCTTGGAGTAATAGTGTACATTTAGACCTTCGCACCTGCGTGCCTTTGACCTTCAAGTCTATCTTCAATGTGTGTGTCGTTGTTCTTCATGGGTTAGAGTGTCAATAAAGAGTGACACTGGTTTTCCAATCGTCTCTAATCGCTGCAGTAGACTTTTCGCATAGAAGGACCGATTACTGCCGGAGTCCAGGAGTGCACTCATTTTTGTCGTGCGCCTTGAGTTCGACCCCTTTACCTCCACCTCCAACAGTGGAAGAGCCACCCTGCTCTTCTTTAGTCATTGACTGGGTCCTGCTTTCTCCCTCTTGGTTGACTCTCCAGTGGTGTCCCAGTATGGTTTCTCACGTCTGCCTACATCTTCATGACCTCGTGACCTCTTGTCGTGTCGTTCATGCCAATCATCTTGTTGTGTAGGTTCCGACCTTTCTGTCTTGATGCCGTGGTTCTTCTTGATTAAGTAGTCACTTGTGTCCCAAGTCCGTTCATCACGGTCACGAGACTAACTTATATCTGTTTCTTGGCTCTGGCGTCTATATTCATACCTTTCCCTTTGCCTGGACTTGGGAGCAGAGTGTGACCATCTAGAGTGTAACTCTGAACATCCATCAATGTCACACTGTGAGTATCCCGTCAGACACGCATTGGCCTGGTGTCCCTTTCTGAGACACAGAAAGCAGTACTGCAATCGTTGTACAGATCGGGTTCTCTCAGTACTGCCATAGTACGAAACTTGTGGCATCGATTCAAGTTATGATCTTTTGAGTGGAGCAAGCAAGCCTTGCACTCTGCGCCTGTAACAGCCAGTCCTACAGCACGCCTGCTAGTATTATTGCCGGCCTATCGTCTAACTCTGGCTCCCATGTTTCTGTGTATGCCTCTCTCACATTTCCAGTACCAGCGGCCTTCTGCATGAGAACCCAGAGATGTTCTAACCCTGGTTCCTTTTCTCCTTGAGCTTCGAACTCCTTCATTTTGCTTCGGCATTTCTTGCGCAAGTGACTGGGTAACTTCTCAACTAGCGACTTTTTCTCCAGCAGATTGTCAACTTGCCACAGTGCACCATGGGGCTCTAAGTCACAGATACATACATTCAGCCTGTCTGAATGTATGTATCTGACGGGGTCATCATCAGTTTGTGAATCTGTTCACGAATAAAGGCATCTTCTCTTCCAAATCGTATTCGCAGTGTTCTTAGAGCCTGTTGATAGCAGTTTTCCACAGTACTATATGAGTATAGGTGGTCTTGAATTTCTTCAGAACAAGCCTGCAGGAGGATGGGCGTCTTCTTAGGATCAGACTTCTGGATCTTGTCTACAGCATCATTGAAGCAATGCATAAAGCTCAAATAGTCGCGACGGCTTTTCCCTTTGAAGGTAGGAAGGCGTATGTCTCTGGAGTGTAAGGCTGACATAACCCTGTCCAGCACCTCCCAAGGTTCCTTAGTCTTTATATCTGCAGACTGTGATGGTATAACCTTATCTTTGTCAATAGTAGACTCATTCTTGGGTGTGGTCCTTATGACCGTGGTTTCTTCCATGGCTCCTCTTTTCCCTCAGCGATTGATCCTCCCCCGATGAGGCCATGCATCTGCTTCAAATTTGCTCTGTTGGGTCTTCTTGACCCACCAGGCTTGACAATACCCTTTTTGAAGATGATTTCTACAATGTAGCTATCCAGACCTTCCATCAATGCACTCCACCAATGGTCGCTGGTTTCTGAGTTTCGGCTAGTTCCTGGTTGGGGTGAGTCGTGCCTATCGCTGATAGTTGATACACTTTCCAGTTCATCTTGCTCTTTCGTCGTGGGGCCAGCGAGCAGTGGTTGTCCATCATTTTCCACATCTAGATCGATTTCTTGTGGCCACTCATTGTTTTCTATGTCCGCTATTTCGTCCAGTTGGAGGTGGTCGTTTGTGATTTGTGGTGGTGTATGGGCACACTTCAGCTAGTCCTGGCAATAGCAGCAAGTACACTGTTGTGTCTGGGGAACTAGTACAACTGTGTTTTGGGAGTTGGTACAAGCGCACACTTTTGCTGTGCCTTGGGGACTGTTACAGGCGCACTCTTCTGCTGTGCCATGGGGGTTAGTACAAGCGGACACTTCTGCTGTGCCTTGGGGGTTGTTACAAGCTCACACTTCTGCTATGCCTTAGGAGTTGTTATGAGCGCACACTTCTGCTGTGCCTTGGGGGTTGTTACAAGCGCATCTACTGTGCCTTGGGGGTTATTGCAAGCGCACACTTCTGCTGTGTCTTGGGGGTTGTTACAAGCGCACACTTCTGTTGTGCCTTGGTGGTTGTTACAAGCGCACACTTCTGTTGTGCCTTGGGGTTGTAAGAAGCGTCCTTTTAATTTAGTCGAGTATATTAGTTGTTTTGTGAGTAGCGCCGACAATCATAAACCTTTTACCTATACACTGACGAGGTCTTAAGACTAGACCAAGTTCATATCACCCTTGCAAACTGTGCAAAAACCAAAGATCACATGAGATGTGTAATCCTAGCAGCTCTGTTCCATCACACGATTCTAGCAGATTAAATCCAATTCATTATTGATACATTATTGCAGGGGTTCTCAACCAGGGGGGAATTCCCCCCAGGGGGGGAATTCAGATTTTCAGGGGGAGAAAACTGATTCGGGAGCAAGAGATATGTTCGATGAGAAATCAATCACAGAATTTTGGCCCTTGATGTGCGATTCCTACCCAAAAGTGGCAGAAAGAGCTATCCGTGCATTGCTTCCGTTTGTGTCGACATATCTTTGTGAGTCAGGATTTTCAACTCTGTTGCAAATTAAAACCAAGCAACGTAGTAGATTAGAGGTAGAAAATGACCTGCGTTGTGCCCTTTCAAGCACTCCTCCGCGTATCCCAGAATTGGCGAAGAAAAAACAATCACAGGTTTCTATTGACTGTAATCTTCATCTGAATAAAATTAATTTCAAATTTACAATATCCTGGTATTCTATTGAACTTTTTGTTTATTGCATTATGCTTCAGTTTGGTCTGTTAAGTAATTCATTATAAATAAAAAAATCTATTTTACTTTTATTCAAGTTTTATAAATCCATCAACATTTTCAATTGGCATTTAATTTGTAAAACTCCACTATAAAAATAATCCATGTAAAATTGTAAATGTATATGTACTAATATGGAAAAATTAAAGGAATTTCAGTATTATATTCATATTATTTGGAATGCACTTTTTGAGGCAGACAATCTTGGAAAGGAGGGGGAATGACATTCTGACATATGGTGAAAGGGGTGCATGGGGCAAACAAGGTTGAGAACCACTGCATTATTGGGATTGTCTACTAGATAATCGAATGTATATTTGTATCATATGAACGTTATCTCGCTAAATTTCATTACAAGTCAAGTCAGAGGACAGGCGCTTAATCGTCTTCCACTCTTTTGTTGATGTTGGATTTCCTCTCGCCTCTGCTGGACATAATTATATAATGTTTTGTCAATAAATCGTTTATCAATATCACTACCACCAAGTTTCTTCCACCGACACGCGCTCGGTGTATCCAGTCTGGCTGTCCGCAATGATCACTATGACTCCCGGTCATTCGTACGAATGATTATGACACCAGCACTGGATCACTTTACTTTGACTCAGGTCCGCTGGGCGGACCACAAAAGAACAATAATACTCCCGCGCGATCATCCAAACTATTTTGCCACAGCGGTAGCTCTTCTTGGTCCGCTCGTTCAGGCGTCGTGTTGACGCACTTGATACAACGTAGAAGCAGCAGACGTCA